AGTTAAAAAAGAAGGTATGAATCTCTGCATCGTGTTACATGGATCTTACAGCATATTAAAGTAAGGTAAATTTAACTGTTATACAGAAGAATGAGAAATGGTCGAGTTGAGTTGTTTCCCCACATAGTAGAAGATCCGAATAGGAAAGGATCTGCACCCATCTGTTTATTGGGTGAAAATTATTCTATATCGAAGTTAGTATGTTAAAAAATATATCAGGTTCATTAAACAGATGGGTGTGAATTACTAGTATCGACTCACCTGTTCAAACCTGCCAACCCGATAGTTATGCCAGGAAAAAAATAGACAATCCAACGTTTTTATATTCTTTAGGCCCTATACTTTCGATTAGTATGGAATTTGTTCGTTAAACAAATGAGTGCAATGCCTTTAACAATTAAAATTTTTGAATTATTTATTAATAATAGTCTGGCCAGGAATTTTTTAGCCAACCCACGCCTGATATGTTTTTTAACATACTAACTTTGATATAAAATAATTTTTACCCAATAAACAGATGGGTGCAAATCCTTTCCTATTCGGATCTTAGACTAACAGAAGAGTGAAACTTGTAGGATATGCTGTCTTTTAAAATAATACTATTAACACGAAAAAAATGGCATATTGCCTACTTTCTTCGGAGCTGTTGGTCCACGGATTTAGCACCTATAAAAATAGATGACCAAATCAACAAACTGATTTGGTTCGGACATGCACAAAGAATGTCAGATACAAGAATATCCACGCAAATGATTGAGTGGGAGCCAGAGGAAAGAAATGAGATAAGTGGATTAGACGAGGAAATGACAGAGAGATATTATGTATATAAAATAGATAGCCAAAGCAGCAGAATCGTTCTCAACCTTTCAATAAAATTTTTATAGCTGAAATAGTACGCCTCTGAAAACCTGATATTCAGCTTCTAACTAGTTTCCTTCTCCTGTGGTGTTTTTACTTTATACTTCAACCATTCAAAGCCAGCAATCTAGTCATACATTGGCCACAAAGAAATGCCCGTATATTCACTTCGCGTATGACACATATATCAGCATATTAAATACAAACTTGTGAACAATTGTAATTTGATTAAGATGGCAAAAGATTTTGTTTTGGGTTACGATTGTTGAATAGTACCTCTGCAATAAATTATTATCTTTTAAAAATAAAAATCAGGTAGGTGATTTAATAGCAAGAAAAAGACAAAAGTACTCTCAATTACCCAAGTTAAAAAAATTATATCAAAATTATAAAAGGATCAAAGCAAAAGGTCTTACACATCAATTGAATGCCATCTCCTCTTTCCTGAATTATTCCAAAATTAAAAACGTTTCAGCAAGGCTTCAACAGATATCGCATCAAACAAAACTTATTGAAAAATGGAACGAAGTAATGAACGAGTACCCACTTGAATAATTTTTATCTGGATATTGGATTGCCTTAGCAGGCGGCATTACTTACACATGCCTCAAATAACATATTTTGAACTGTCGTTTTTTACTGTTACTGATAATTTGATGAAATATTTAATATGATGGAAGACAAAGTAGGTAGGTTTTCCAGAACAAACCACCAAATTCAATACAAAATTGTTCAATGCAAAGTTCCCTAATAAATCCCAAAAGTGAACTAAACAAGACCAAAACAACGAGATACTAATTTACAAACAGATAAATAGTTATAAACTAGTATACGAATCATGAATCTTCACGACACGGCAAGGACGAATATCAATAAACTACAAATATATGAAAACCGCACCTCAAGAAAAATCGGCACCGCATCCTGGTACCTAAGGCATGAAGACATAGGTACCCAAATATTTATCACCTAGATATGATATATCTTGATATAATAAAATAATTATTGAATATAGGCAGACAATTTATAATACAGAAATATTTTTGTTACATAAAAAAAAGACAAACTCCATATTATCATCCCCCCGCCAGAAACGTCACTACATCATAAGAAGAAAGTTTTTTAAATACTTCGATACCGTCATACAGAATTAATGCTATAAATAATAAAATGATTAATTGAAAAATATTTCTTATGTATGAATTTGATCTGTGATTATGAGTGACGAATACAACAAATATGAAATTACTATCTTAAGTTATAGTAAAATGGTTGTGTATTCGAAATATTGTTTCAATTAACAAAACTCAGTAAAAAGCTGATTGATTGTTATTCGAAAACTTTTTGACATTGAAAAATTATTTTTAATTGAAATCCCCCTTAGGTCTCTGATCGACATGACACATTCGTGCACAAAACTACCCCTCTCCAAAGGACATTAAATATTTTTAGCGGAAAAAGTCATAAATCAAATACAGCCTCGGCTTCAAATAAATCATTATTTAGCTATTCATTTATCCAACCTAACAGGTAATATAATTTTTCTAGTCATATCTGTAGTTACCGTATACTCGTATTCGAAATATCGATCAAATGAATAAACGTCGCAAAAGAGCTTAAAGACAAATATTTCAAAACCAATTTTCCAGATTGGCGTTTTTCTTTTTCTTCCATTCTTGTTATAAACGTATTTTGTTGTATTAGATTTAGCGGAGTATCAAAAATATGTAGTTCAGTCGTTTCCCATACACTTCTATTAATAGGCCAACCACCCTGAATCATCTTGTGTAAATAATATCCACGTAATAAAATGCAACACATTTACCAAAATACGAACTTCTTCAGCGCGGCTTATATTCCAAATAATAAATACACGGTATGATTTATCTATATCAGTGCAACTAAATTAGGAATTATAATTTGTTGTTTTATTATTTGCTACTTTGTGATATTATCCCTAGTTTTCTGTTCGCTAATCGGCGTCCTTCGTAACCTCCAGTCCTCAGCAATTTAAAAGATGATTTGTATTAGCCAGTCTTCGTTTTGCTTGTCATTTCTAAGACCACTGTTCACTATTATTTATTATTTTACAATTTAAATAGGTATATGTGTTTTTTTTTGTAATTTACACCTACTGATGTCTATGATATTTCAATTTTATTTGATTTATAATCATTGTTATTTCAACCTTACTGACGATTGTGAACCTTTAGACATCTATTCTTTGGTTTTCTGCGATTTTTTCTATTTTGTTGGTAGGTAAGTCATGATTATTACTAGACAGATAAGTGAAGGAAATGATTGTGGCCCAGTTTTCGCCCCATATTGCATGGAGTTTAGTGATTTCCTTTCTTGGTTTTTTATATTTCCCATTGAAACTAAGTGTATCCAATGGATGGGATACAGTTCTTGACTATGACTAGATTATCTTCTTTATCTGGATAAACTTGAGATAAAAACATTAAATTCTGGTCTATTCCTACTCGTTCCAGATTTAGAAAGAACATTCTATAATCTCTTGTTTTATCGCTATATCCGACACCAAGTCTACATTTTGGTTCAAGTGTCAACTTTTTTTTTGGATCATAGACTCAATCACCAAATACTTTCAATAATGATATATGCCAAGGATCTTCTAAGCTAAAATTCATAGGAATACTTGCTAGTATTATGGCTATCATCTACTCGGTTTAGTATGCGACAGTATTCTTAACTTTTGTACAGTACTTTTTCTCTTACCGTGTAGCATGTAGCATATTCATTTCTGCTTCCACTAAAGTGCTCATTTTTCTCTTTGCTTTAACATTTTGTTGGGAAGTATAAGCACACTTTTGTGTCTTATACCAGAATTAGAAGGTAGACCTTCAATCTCATAAGCCAATTCATCAATCAAGGGATAACTCGCAGAGTTTGCTGACCCTGGTTCAACTCTAACTCTGGGTTTACTAACTAGTTGAGTCGAAAAGTGTTTATCCAAGCTTTTTTAACCCAGGGCTCACTTTTGTCGATTGTTTGACATTTTCTGCTCGTATCCCTACTTTTTAATGTTATTTTTTTTTCTGTTCGGTTTCGTGTATTCGCGACTTAGACTTGCACTATCTTGCTAATGACACTGTTTCCTTCTCACTCTCCCTCAGGGTGTCCTGTTTTCTCAGTAGCCCGGATGTTAGCTCTGTCAAGGTAGGTCTGTTGAATAGTGGGTTTTGATTCGCATGCACTAACGGTTCTCTGGCAATGATATGAGGATTCCAGCAACTACCATTCTGTCACTTAGATCTTCTCCAAGGTGCTTTAAGTTTCTGTTGATTTCCTTCAGCTGGGAAATAAATTCAGTTACAATTCCCCGTGTGTTTTCAAGGCTGGATAACCGCTATTGCAGTAAGCGCACACTTACTTGAGATTTTTTCTCTTAGATGAGCAATTCGTGCATATTCTAGCTGTGTCTATAGGAAATAACCTCACAGAAAGAGGTGAACGTTTATATTATGAGTTTTCCATGTGGTAAAAATTCCGAGTAGAATCGTCGAAGCGAAGATAAAAATACGGAGTCATAGATATGTATTATAATAATAAAGAATCAATGTAAAATCGTGACAGTTTCTATACCGGTATCCTCCGTCTAATAAATATTATAACGCAGTAAAATTGGTTTACAGACAAATATTTCGAAACCCATTTTTCCAAATAACTTTTCTGTACCTTCTGGTCGGCATTACTAGCTAAAATCCTGAACAAACAATTCGAGAACAAAACAAGATATAATACTTACTAAATGAAATACGCTCTTACGTTCATAAGGGATTATTGGTTTCCCTTATATTTGCTTTATAGGAAAATAATTTTCTTTTTGAAAATACCCTCTGGATCTTCTGTGAACTTGGTCAAATAGTTATTTAGACCAAAGGATTTTTGAAACTGAAATTAAATAGGAAAAAAGCTTATGAGACATCTTGAGCGAAAAAAGGGCAGACAAATAATCCTTTTAAGAAATAATGTCTTTAAATATTGGACTGAACAAATAGTATGTTCAGCATCCTTGAATGAGTAGATATTTTTCGATATATTTTGATGGATAAAGTAGGTAAGCCTTAAAATGTTCACTAACCCAAAAATCTAATAAAATTAATTTCAAATTGTTCCAGGTGGCATGGATTCACATAGACCGCCAAATGATCCTCACCATTCATCGACATGTTATAAGTCGAATACCTCGGTTTAGTGTGTCACATGACAATGCCAAAACCTGGCTCTTACACGTCAATAATGTACATAAAGAAGACCGAGGATATTATATGTGTCAAGTAAACACAAACCCTATGATCAGTCAAGTGGGATATTTACAAGTTGTGGGTAAGTTGAATAAGGTCATCCAGAAAAATAGGGTGTGTTTTAATTTTATTCTGCTCTAAACAAGGAAAATTGATTATAGCGAATAATTTATTCAATTGTCACAAGTAAATCTACCCAATACAGAAAATCATAGAACCTTCAAAAACATGTTCGCTCTAAACTTTTGCTTCTACAGTGTCACCATCAAAGTCCACATCATATAAGAACTTTTTACGCAAATTAAAAATCATGAATAGGTTTTGCTTCCACAATAATGCAAAATGACGTTGAGGATTTCATCTTAACGATTGTTCATACCTGTCAATGTTGACATATTTTCAAAAAAATTACATGACTTCAAAAATATGCTACATGCAAAAGAAGCTCGTCCTCCAGTTTTCCACTCACCAACTAAATTTGGGTAACCTTGAGTTTCTCACGTTTTCTCAAACTACTTATTTTCGGCTCACTGACATTTAATTAAAACGGAATTGAACCATCTGCTAGAGAAGTATTTTTTTTTTTGTTTTTTTCATTTGATGTTTTAAAAACAGATTATTAACGAAATTATCAAATAATATATTACTTACCTACTTAGATCATATCACACTTGATGCAAAGTGGCTCTAGTTCCAATATTTTGTGGCATTTTTATCACAATACAAAAAAAGCATTTCAGAAAACCGCATGAAAATGAAATTATTGAAACTCAATCGATTTAAAAGGAACAGAAGGTTGTTCCTTTTGAATTAATTTAATTAGAAAAGAGTTTTCTAAGATTGTCCAAGGTTGGTATGTAGGTAGAAAACTGAAAAAGAAACAATTTTTGCAACTTGCACTCGATATTTAAAAAAAATGTCATTAAATGATGCGGTCTTTAACGATGAAACTGTAGATTTTTTTTCCTAATTTTATTGTAGGTCTGACCTATTATTATGGTACATTAAAGCGTAGCTGAAATACTCAGTACTCAGGTTAAACATTACCTTAAAAAAATCATTGATACTACGAGCATTTCAATTTTGTCACGTCCTATACAATATCATGGAAAATTATACATAATTATGTTCTTATTTGTAAGTAGTAATGTTATGAATAATCATTCTGATATTCTCCTTTCTAAGGCCGAGGCTGGGCTGGGTCTCTGTTAAAAAATTAGTAAATTCATAACGCTGATGGCTCATTTTTCAACAAGCCATTCATTCACGAAACTTTTTTGCATCCTACAAATTGTATGGTACCTAAATATGACAAATTTTAGAATGAATTCAAGTAGAACACTATAAGTTTCACTTATTTTCCGTACCTTTTTTTTTTTTTTTTTTTTTTACGGATATGCGCACTCGCAAGGAAATGTCCTATCACGCTCGAGAAGCGGCAAGTGCGCGGAAATGTCTTTGTATGTTGGTCTTGAAACGGTTCAGGTTGTAACCTGCAGGGAAAACCGTCGCAGGGAGTTTATTCCACAGCGATGCTGTTCTCCAGAGATATGAATTCTGATATAATGAGGTTCTTGGTGCCTCTAGTTTGACAGTAAATTCATGGTTACCGTCTGTTTGACGGGTTCGCCTGGTAGGCGCTACTCTCGGTGGAATCATACGTGCCAACTCTTCAGAGCATTTTCCGTGATAGTACCTGTAGAAGAGAGATAAATCGCCCACAGATCTGCGATGTTCGAGACCATCCAAGTTACGAGTAAGTGCGGGGTCATTGATCAGCTTGATAGCTCGTTTTTGCACGGTGTTCAAAAGCATTAAGGTATGTTTGGGTGCTGCACTCCATATATGTGAGCAGTACTCCATAGTTGGTCGAATCTGGGCTTTGTAGAGTGTCAGTAATTGGCTTGGTGTGTACAGAGTTCTTGTACGAAATAGCACCCCCAGCTTTTGGGACGCCCTTTTAGCAATATCTGCCACGTGACTGTGCCAAGACATGTTGGTCTCTGCAGTAACCCCCAAGATGTTCAACTGACTCTGTAATGTGACAGCACTTCCAGATAGCATGATGTTTGGCTCACCGGTGCTGGTCTTTTTTGAAAACAGAGCTGCTTGGGTTTTCTGCGCGTTGAACTGTATAAGGTTTTTGTTACCCCAGTCCTCTATTATCTCCAGGTCGTTATTTATCTGCGATATTTGAGTTAGTCTAAGATGATGGAATTCACGTACGGAAAGACCTGTGGGTGGTATGAGTGAGGAGACTACATTGCCATCGTCTGCAAAGCAATAAAGTGGATTTACTGTTTTATCTATGAGGTCATTTATGTAAATCAGAAAAAGAGTTGGCGAAAGGATTGCTCCCTGTGGCACACCAGCATTTATTTGGTAAGAGTTGGAGTTCTGGCCATCCAGTGCAACATAAATGGATCTGTCCTTTAGGTAACTTTCAAACCAAGTGCAAAATTTCGGCGATAATCCCATTGCTTTGAGCTTGTTGAGCAGATTTTCATGCCAAACTTTGTCGAATGCTTTAGATATATCTAAGGCAATTATTCTTGTTTCACCCCGCAACTCAATCGCTTTTTGCCATAAGTGAGTGACGTATGTAAGTAAATCGCCAGTTGACCTATATTTTCGAAATCCGTATTGCTTATCGTTGATAATTTTGTACTTTTCCAAGTACTTGGTTAGGTGATTGTTCACAACTCTTTCCATTACTTTTGATATCACCGGAAGTAGAGCAATTGGTCTATAGTTTAACGGATCTGTCTTTTTTCCTTTCTTTGGAATGGGTTGTACTGCGGCAGACTTCCATGATGATGGATATACTCCTTGCCTGTAAGACAAATTGAATAATTTTGCGAAAGTTGGGGTGAGTTCGTTGGCGCAATTTTTGAGTACCTACCCACTATCAGAAAAGCGACGTTTCACTACGAAGTGTCCCTTTTCAGGATGCGAATCCTGAAAATTAATATAAAAATATTGTTTTAGCAAATAAAATGAAACTCACACCAAGCAGTCGAATCAACCAAATTCTGAAATATTACTTTTGTATTTTTCCAGTGCCCCCGAACATTATAGATAGTATAAGCACGCCATCTAGTGTAGCAGTACGAGAAAATCAAAATGTGAGTCTAACTTGCAAGGCAGAGGGATTTCCCAATCCGAAAATAATGTGGAGGAGAGGTGATAGTCAGGAAATCACTATTGACCGTAAAAAGAAAGGTAGGTAATAAACATAAACCAAGAATTAACTTAAAAACTCTCTATTACAAACTCACCATTGAGGTTAATATGAATCGAATAAACAATATTACATAAAGCGAGATAACGGATTCCTGTAATTAATAAAATTGACGAAAATAATAATAATTGTTAAGTTCTAATTTTACCTATTCTCCAATTTCTTTCCATATCTCGACCCTTGAAGTTTTCAGTTGCCAAAGTCACATACACATTCCAGGAAGGAAAATATGGAATGTGATGAGTAGGTATTTTCAAGACTTTGCCAGAAGTTATGGTATTGCAAACCTAACTATACTCAATTTTTAACCTTTCTATCCTTTATCAGCCTTTTTTTTTTGTTTACTCCTGAACATAAGCCTCCTTCAGTTGTCGCCACGATTTTCTGTCTTGTGCCATCTGATACCATATTTTAGCCGCCATCCTTTCAATGTCATATAACCATCTTTTCATTGGCTATAGTTAGCACAAAAAAGCGGGATTATGCCAGATGTAAGATTGATATTGTGGCGGAAAATCGACAAAACATTGTACTTTGAACTCCGCCATATCAATAATGAATAATTGACTCCAATGGAGTTAGTTTGCACAGACAAAATATTCTGAGGCCACTGGAAAAACCACCTATAGAATTAATGATGTTGCACACATTTTTCTGAAAGCGCTTCATAATGGAGATTCTGAAGAAAAGAATCTGTTCATAAAGTGAGTATCAATATTGGACGTTGAAATACAACCCATTACTGTACCCGTTGGGATAGAAGATAGTTTTACTGAGTAGTCATCACAAGATCCCAGCTGTTGATAATGATATTTTTGTGTATGTTAATTTAATTTTTTTTTTTATTAATCTTCGTTTTGTTCATTATTTTCTCAATTATTGTTTAGACATAAATGTTCGAATATAGTCAATGTACCGGGTGCCCAGATCACTTTCCGACTGCCATTTTTTTATTTGTCTATCGATATCAACGAAATTTGGTAGGGTTGATATTCTAATCAAACGCCATTTTCATGCATTTATGACAAGTTTTCGTGACTTTCGGTTTCACCGAAAACGACCGGAACTTTTGATTTTTAAATGGCACACCCTGTATATTTTTTGTGTTTCGGATTCTACAGATCGTTTTACGTCCTAATGCGCTACCTTTGAATCGAGTTTTGTCCAAATTTTGTTTTTAAATTAAATTTTAATTTCTTAACTAGAGTGCCATGATCATCCTAAAGTGACTCTACATACTTTACTTAATTTCAGAAAAATACAAACTCAATTTTATCTTCGTAAACTGTTTCATAGAGGGCTGTATACTTCATTATTTTAGTATTTTTACCGTAGCTCAAAAACTAGAATAGAAACATCACTTTCATAACATTACTTGATGTAGTATTTTGTAGGGAAACCAACGATATAATACACTACGACATTTTTCTTAATTTTCGTTCAAATGTGTGCCATTTGAAAATCGAAAGTTTCGGTAAATTTCGGTGAAACCGGAAGTCAGGAAAACTTGTCTTGGATGCACAAAAATGACGTTTTGTTAGATTATCAAGCCTATCAAGTTTGGTTGATATCGATGAATAAATAAGAAAATGGCTGTAAAAAGTATTAAAAGTAATCACGTGGGCACCCGGTACAGGTACATTTATTCATAAATGTCACAAACTCGAGTCCTATATTACGCGAATGGCAGTACCTCATATACCGAGATCCATTAATTTTAAATATTATAGTATCATACAATGCAAATGAGCCTCGGACCTTTTCTCAGGGTGTCGAGTTTATTCTTAATGATTTGCTGAAATGTTAAAGGTACCTATGCTTTTCTTATGGTGATGTTTGAAATTTAGTAAACTCTTCTAGTATAAGTTTCGACCTAATTTTGGATACTTTTGCATATACTCAACTGCCCACATTGAACAAACAGACTATATGATGTTTACTTTTTCATTCCAAAATAGCTTTGTTTCACATCCGGTATAAAGATATAAAGCAAAATAACTCAAAATTTATTTTTAATAAAATACGTATCCTAAATGCGGATCCTATAATATATATGGTACCTACCTACATAAAAAGTTATCAGCGATGAAAAAGTGTGGAACTTTAATTTGGCCCACAGTGTATGTTATTTGCGTATTTTTGCATTACTAAGTTTCAAATTACCTGTAATTAGCATGGATTATTGAGCAAAAGCGGTCTTTAAATTGGTCGCGTTCACCAGCCCTCAACATGTTGAGGGGTTAGTCATCGGCTTTGTTGAAAACAGATAAAAATCAGCTCTAGGCTAATGAAAACTGTTTTACCTTGTATATTCCACTTGTTGGAACAAAGCCGCTTATTAATCATGGTGGAGAACGCGACCATTAACTCTATCAAAATTTGACAGGAGTTATGGGTTATGGACTAGGACCTTCAAAAGTATTATGTCGAACAGATGGAGCCTTATTATTCAACCACAACTTTCGATTTATTCAATATTAGGCATAAAATGAATATGTAAATTGAGTAAGGGGATCGATAAATACGGATAATCAAATTAATGTGTGGACATTGTAGTACCTTGAAAATATAAAATTGCAGGCCATTGGGCCCAGAAGGTCTTTTTGAGCCTGCTCTAAACTTTGAGCTCAGCGCTAAAAGACACTTCTTAACTTAAGTAACTTATTAGCTTATTAGGTAAACCATTCTTAAGGCATGTAAGTTACTGAACTAAATATATGTTTGACATTCTACTACACTCAAATATATCGCTTAAAAAAAACAATCAATAAATTTGTGATAATTCAATAATTTTGAGCAAGCAATAGGTAATAAATGGGTTTATCTTTTTCGGTTTGATTCTCCCAAATAAAAAAAAAATATATTTCTGGTTTAAAAATGTCTGTCTTAAACAGTATGAATAAATACAAATTAAAAGACAAAACAATATTTAATATTCTATCTTAAGAAAACAGAATCCTCTCCTACCAGAAAGTTATTTGAAACATGAAATCAGTTCTCATGAGAATGAATTTGTTAGTTATTGGAGCACGATACGCTCCGCCCCGCATCTTCATTTTCTGAAGTGATGCTATACTATACTATTCAGAAGAACAATACCTAATAATGGGGAGATTTAGTGTTTTTTTTTGTCCAAATTCTAGAACATAAAGCAACGCAAAAAAAGCATATGAACACTATTCTAGGGAACATTTGTTGAGTTGTAGTTAATTTTTTATAAAAATATAAATTCCTATTTTTGACGCAGCATTTTACACGCCGAAACACCTGCCGAATATGACGTCATTCGCCAAAAACGAGCAATAATATACTGCAAATTAGTAAATATTGTAACGCTAATTATATTTCCGATTCAGAAACTTGTATTTCAAATAACATTTATTTATTGGTTAAAATACAGAGGTGACAAAAGAAAATGTGTGGATCAAGTTGCAACAGTAAAACCATGAAAACAAATGAAAGTTCATTATGGGACTGCGCTGGCTCAAATAAGAATTTAATGCCGATATAGCAACTTGATGTTTACTATACAACCATGTATTTAAAAAGTCATAGAGGAAAGGGGTAAGCTCATTAAAGCATAAAAAAAATGGATGATTGATTATTAATTAACGTGGCAATTGGTTAATATAACTCCTCCCTCCTTAAGATATTGCAAACGTGGATTGTTGTTTATTCAAATCAGACAATTCAATTTGCACAACCTTTTTCTGGAATTTCACACTTCCTAAAACAGTGAAACATTGAAATTATGAATAAAATAGCTAGACTTAAACCTATGATTGAATATGTATTCAAATAAGAGTTTACAAAGGACAATTCTTTGAGATTGTGAATTCCTATTTGTCTCTTAATCTTGAAGGCTTCTTCTAGGGCTTCTTGGTTAATTTCTTGAAGTTCCAATGTTGTTTCGTTCTCTGGAAGTTCAGGGATGTCTATTTTTGGAATCTTCGGTTCAAAATTGAAGTTCTCGCTGGTTTTTGAAAATGTATTTTTACAAAGCATTTTTCAAAAGAAACTAGTGATGGATTGGTTATAATATGCATATGGTTTGTCTTGTCACATTGGGTAACTATCGTCAGACTTTTCTCAGGGATGACTTATAGTTGTCCATTCGGAAGTAGTCTCACTGTTGGTTTCTAATATTTCACTTTAGTGAAAGGACATCGTTGTGGTAGGTCAGTAACCAGGTCATAGACACATGATTTTTCTTGCTTGAGCTCTTCTTGGTTACACAGGTACACTTTTTCGACTTTTGGGCATTCCCATAAAGTATTGTAGTAAATGTCCGTAGTAAGTAATAGGTAAGGGTACTTATTCCTAATGGTAAGTTTTTGGATAGGAATTGGATAGATTTTATACAATATAAAGGGCCTGGGATCAATCATTGGGTGTGTATAATAAATATAATCAACTCATTTTGGATTTTCACTTGAGTTTACGTTGTCTCGTAATACTTGATTTTATCATCAAAAGGTATTTGTTGACTTTTGGGTATATTTGTTAATATTTGATTGAATTTATTATGCTGTGAAATAGTGGAATGTGTAAATGTATCAAATTAAAGGTTAACATTGAATGGAAATTTTGGATTTCCAAGGAAATATTTTGTAATTTTCCTGCGATAATCTTTTGGTTAGATTCAATCTGACTATAAAATCGAGATGTTAGTTCAAGGTTGTCACCGCTTTAATTATGCAAATAAGGCAATCGGAATATAAAATCGATATGTTTATGTTAGTTCAAGGTTGTTACCGCTTTTGCATACATTGAGTGCCGACTCATAGATAGGCAATTACTTATACATAATAGAAGTCGGGTAAGTGTTTGGAAGAAGTCCGGAGAGGTCAGGAAAGGGCTGGATAAGGTCGGGAGAAATCTAGACAAGTCTGGATAAAGTCTGGATAAGGCTGGAAAAAGTTTAGCTAAGTCTGGAAAAGTTTGGATAAGTTTGGATAAAGTCTGGAAAAGCCAGAAAATT